AAAAAAAAAAAAAAAAAAGAAAACAAAGAAAAGGAAAAAAAGAGAAACAAATGTGCGTATCTGAGAATAAAAGATACGGAACTTTTGCGAACTTTGCGAAATTGTTCGTTTCTCTCAAGTTTGCTATTTGACGAGAGTACAAGGACGATAGAAAATGCATGAATTTGGCGAAAAAAAAATTAAAAAAAAAGATAGGAAAATAATCGATACGAAGAGTCGATATATAAATTATAATCGAACGATAACCGTCGTATCGTCGTTCTATATTCACTGCTCTTCTCGTGAAACGATCCCGATATCTCGTTGGTATATTACTTGCTCGATGAAAAACAGAATAACATTTATTTAATTTGATTTTGCAGTACAATAATTATCGACAGTGAAAACTGAATACAACTCTTTCCTTTTTCATGTATGTCGTTTAGAGTGCGCGACCGAAGGTTGGTAAAAAGTTGGAAACCGAAAAAAAGAAAGGAAAAGACCGGATATAATTATTTCGAAATTCGAGCGCTGCGAGGAACGATTCGAGTCAATTATGACACAATTTTGAATTCTACGCTTGATCATGATCATGATCAAATTATCATACCTATGGTTATTTTCTATGTCGTACCACGAGAGCAAGCAGACATTTCTCGACCCTTATTCAACGCAGAAAGAAACAGTTCGAAGCAATGAATATTCATTTAAGAGTTTATTTACAAGTGGCAACAAAAATACTATCACCTCTTCCTGTATGATTATAGTACGTTAATATCTTCGTTAGATAAACAGGCACGTCAGAAAGAAATTTCGATCGACGTATTCAGCATAAGATTATTGCTTGTTGTTTTTTTTTTCTTTTCCCTTCTTCTTTCTTTTTTCTTCTTCTTTCTTTTTTTTTTTTTTTTTAAATAGAAACTTTGTAAAATCATACGCAGAACTACAATCTAAAGTTTGTATCTACGATTCGCGAGCATCTACGCGAATTGCGTCATAATCGATTTCATTGATCGATTTGTACAACGTGAACGATCGTCGAAGTTGAAGAACCGGAAAGGACCAATAGATATCTTTCTTTCTTTTTTTCTTCCTAATAGTAACTGGACATTACACAAAAACAAAGATTGAGAAAATATTCAGAGAATATTCAGAGAATATTTAAATACACAAAGACTGTGCATTTAAAATACATAATCAACGTAGCTCATAAAGGGAAAAGCTCTACAGCTTAAACTCATACGAGCTTATTTACGATGTATAGTTGTCTTTAACAAATTCCTCAAGTATCTTCATTTACCAGTATTAGCAACGTTCTAGAATAGGTGATCTTCTTTTTTCTTTTGCGAAGCACTAAGGCGAACAACGTGAGCTGTTTTAACACAATATTTCCTTCTATTGAGATTCAACATCTTTATGAATATATTACGATATGGTTTCATCCAAGATGCTTCTTACATGTATTCTTCCATGAATGTTACAAATATTTATTCCCTCTTACAAATACGTAAAAGCTCCCGTCGTCTCCTTGTACCTGTATATCGTCAAGAAAAAAAAGAAACATAAAAAATTTATTCAACGAAACATGTGTATGTGCTTACTAATGATCATGACGACTTGATAACTATGTTACTACGTCAGCAGTTGATTCAACTCCGGAAATTGAAAAAGAAAGGTAGAACACCGAAAAGTTCTGAAAATATGAGACGAGGGAATAACGTTGTCTGCTCTCGCTTCTCTTACGAATATTCCACTTGTTTGCATAAAACAATAAACCGAGTATCGAGTATTTATCATTATACAGAAACTAAAGTAACCACATGTGGTTAAATGAAAAACACAGAACTGAGTGTGTACATGTACGTATTTGTCGGCGCGCGCGCATCATAGATGAAAATGTATGGAGAGATTTAAACGTGGTATGAATATGGGCAACGATTCGAAATCCCGAACATTAAGCGTGCACGTGTTTACGGACGCACACACGAACAAGTGTGAGGTACACGCGCGTGCAGATATATTTGACAATGGGCGAGTAGCGCGATGTAACAAAAAAATGTCCTACGTAACGATAGTCTAGGACAACGATGGTTCAGTGGTCGTCCATGTCATGAACACGTTGACGTTTCGTCGCTGGTTGTTGATGTTCAGGTGGTTCAGGACTTTCAACAATGGCAAGCGGTGCCGGTGAACCAGGAGAACTATCCGATTCTTCGTGTGAACGCTTCGCAATTCCGACGCCTGCGTCGGGACCAATAAAGCTTCCACTGATTGTGATCACAGAAAATAACAATTAGTTTTCGATGAATCGATAATAAAAAAGATACAACAAAGAAGATATTAAACACAAACGTACCTATAATTATACGTGGTTTGTACAATAACAGGGGCCGGACTATATTGACCAGCCGGGGAAAGAGAATGCTCTTCTGTAGCATTTCCAGATACGACGTATTTATCTGGAAAAATATCAAAGATATTTAAAATGCTAGATATTCTTATGATGGACATTCGTGCAAAAATAAGAACATAAAAAGCAAAAGACAAACGGTAGAAGAGTATACAACTTGTAGAACCCGCAAAGGACCCTATCTATCCTTTCTGTCTAGGATAGGAAACGTAGAAAGAAACATAATAAAAACATTATTACCTTCTCTAGTCGAATCACCACTAACACCGTTCGTGACAACAGTAATCTGTTGCATTAGGCGACCTTTATGAGACGATTGACTCGACGATGCGTAGGGATGACCAGGCGATCCTGGCGCGGATTGACTAGTCAACTGACCAGCCGGAGAGGATACAGTGCTGTCTGGATAAGATTCTGGTCCTGGCGATGTTTCTCTGCTAAGACATTCCGGCGTCATCAAGCCACTGATACCAACGTGAGACGGAGAAGCTGGCGCACTTCTATATGGTTTCAAATATTATATACGTTAGATTGAGATTTTTAATAATTAGTATACATGAAATTGAAAAACAATGGTACTTATAAAATCTATCCACCTAGATGAAAGTCCAAATGGAGCTCGAAAACATGGAACTCCACGTTGCCTTCTTTGTCTAAATGCCTGCTCTATAAGCTTTGCTTCTGATTGTGGATCTATTCGCCAAAATGATCCTTTCCCTGGCTCTTCTTGACTTCTTGGTACTTTGATAAAATAACGATTTAATGAAAGATTATGCCTTATTGAATTTTGCCATCCTTTATCCGCAGTTCTATAATATGGATAATTCTTGGTAATGTAAGAATAAATGCCAGATAATGTGAGCTGTTTATCTGCAGCAGATGCTATTGCTTGTACGATTAACTGTGCATATGAATATGGAGGTTTAGAGTCATCCTTTGGTGGACTACAATGTGCTGCAGTACCATTTGGACCGCTACTGCTGCCACCTCTGCTGTATCTTGACTCAAGCTCAGGACTTATTTGTCTATTAGAACTTTGTCCACCCTCGTGTCTTTCTATGTTAGAGTTTTGTGAATCATTTGCAACGGCAGCTGCATACACAGCTACCATCTGTAAATCTGCTGATATGTTTCTTCTTCCTTGTCCTGCACGTGGACTGGCAGGACATGAATTAGCAGCACTAATTGTTCCAGTAGGAGAAGGAAATGGGCTACTATAGCCAGCATCCGGAATATTAATACGTAAAGGTGGTAATGGTGGTCTATGCTTTGGAGGAGAAGGAACGCGTATATTACTTTGTTCTTGTTCGTCCACTAATGATTGAAATACGAGTCTTATATTTGTACTTGGAAATCTGAATGTGCATCTAGAACAGAAGAAACAAGCAACTGACAAAAGAGAATAAAGAAAATTAAGAGAATAAGAGCAAAAGAATGAGTGAAACTCCTATAGTAATTCCTTGCTTAAAATTATTTGCATAGAATACCATAAGATCTTTATTGTTATCGCGTTATAAGATAGTTTTTCCATTCTCGTTATCGACAATGTCATAATATAACGAGACTATCATAAATTATAAACGAAATGAGACCGTGCGAGAATCGTGTAAGATGTTTGCCAGTGGCATGCGAGAAACGTGCAAGAAAGGTTAAGTCGGCTCGATAAAAGCTCGAAAGATATCTTACGTCTTTGGTAATTGGAAGGCAGGCGCACCCTTTCGTTGAAAAACTCCATCAACAAAAACACCATTTTTACCATTGCAAATCATAAAGAAAAACGGATGATCATAGAAGATTTCAAGGTGTCGTCGTGAGATAAAACTGGAGTGGCCCATGTTGACGTCGACCTCACCCTTGCTGCTGTTACGTCCGATAGTGATACGTCGTTGTCTAACCATGTATTCAAACTCGCGACCCTCTAACCGTGCAATCGGTGCACCTTTTGCTTCCGGGTTCCACTGCATCTTTGTCGGGCTGGCCGGTGCCGACTTCAGTGCCAGAAGGGCCCACGCGTCGCTCTCCTGAGTACGGGAGTACGTAGTAGACATAGCACCGAGTAAGCGAACCCTCCTTTGGGATAGAATGAGAGAGAGAGAAAAAGGAGAAGTAGACAGATATAGATAGATAGATGGACGTGTAGATAACGAGTCAGATAGATAGATAGATAAACAAATAGATAACCGATATAGATAATTAGATATATAAATACGGGCAAAAAGTGATAAATTACCGCGAAAGAAAGAAACGATCCTGGAATTGCCTTGTATGTGCACTAGATTGTAAACTATGGTATCCAGGATTTGAAGAATAAACGAACTGATTAAAAGACCACGTCAATTAATATCAACGATAGCACGTGAAAACATATAAAACATCGCGTGAAATTCAATTTATTGAAATAATCAATTCCCTTACAAATTCGACGAACAACTAATCGAACAATCGATTGATTAATCGACTGATTAACTGATCGACTGGCGGACTGATTCAATTAATCGATCGGCCAATCGACTAAATAATCGACCAATTGATTTTAATGCAACCGTGTATAAACAAACAATATCTAACGATCTAATTAAGCAGATTAACAAATAACGTACACCCGATAACTAGAAAAACAGTTACAATTTTTCGTAAAGAAAAAGATGGTATATACGTACAATACAATGTATACAATAATATGTAAAATGAAAACAAAAGTCTATTTACTTAGCTGATATTGCTCTAATGCTTCGTCTGATTAATCTACAAAACAATAAAATTAAAAATAGAAATTTTTCTACATTTTTTAGAAATTAATTAACACTCACACACACACATATATATCATTATATTCTTTTTAAGTACTTTTCACTTCACCTGTTCCTTCAAACTTTTTTGCAAGTTTTAATTTACACTTTTACACTTACATTCACTAGATAGTTTACACTTAAGTGTGAACATATCTCCTCTTCTAAAAGTATCACGTTTTCTACTTATTCTCAATTCAAAAATATCACGTGATGCAAACGCGCGTTGTATTTTGCGATTTGAACATGAAGTAACGTCATGATGTAAAGTGAACTAAGGTCTTCAATATGATTGTTGAGGTTAATGACATACAATTCGAATCTACTTTAATAAAAATTAGAACATATCTACGAATGTTATTATAATAAGTTCAAAAATATCAATTATGACATAAACGACATTTTTATTGATCTGAATTTAAATTTAATTAACGCATATATACCAGCAAACATGCCAAGTATAACCTTTATGTGCTTATTTAAACGTTTAACAATAACTAAGAATGAATAAGTACAATATATGTGAAAAACTGTGAATGCTGATTATCGTCGTATTATGTGATACAATTCTATTTATTAACCTTGTTTCTTTGTTGTACGACTACGACGTACAATCATGAATATTCAAGAATATGTCACTGACAAAAACAATGACCATTATAATGACGACGTTTATGGTCTCGTAACTAAATTGAGTAAACACATATTGCAAACATATCGGTCTTCTCGTCGAAATATACAACTCTCTTATGATCGTGATATTAAATTAATTAAACATCTTCGCATTAAAGCTTTCGAAATATTACTGAAGAAAAGCGTATGGATCAGAAATCAAGGTGACATTAATACTTGACCACGTTACATGTATTTAACTTTAAATTATTTATCTTTTCTTTATCTCGTTACTTGAATCCACAGATTGCGAACATCAAAATGCAGATCCATTTTTAGAAATACAAAAACATGCTTTTGCATTGAAGCTGAGATTAAACCATTCGTATGAGGCTAAAATGTTAGAACACTTATTAGAAAAGCTTGAAGAATTCCCATGCAGTGAAATACCAGTATCTTCTGTTTTACAATTACTAATGCAATTGAAAAATTCTGACGTTAATCCAGAACCATTAACGGTAAGATTTAATCTTTTACAATTATAAAGTAGATTTGTCTCAATTTCATAAGTATATTAATACATGCTATTACAATATCTAGAATATATTTTATTTCAACAAAACAAATCCTGCTTTTCCTGAAATCATATATAATAACAATAACATACCACCATTTCAAATGTACCCAATGGAATGTTTCATATCATCAAAGAAATTTGAAGCAACATTAGAAAGCTATCCAATTAAAAGAACTGCACCCTCAAACTTTACGAATGAATTAAGTTTCTTGGATGATTCAGTAAAATACAAAGCACTAGTTGGGATTGAATCTGCTGAGTAAGTTATATAAATAATCCCTTTTTTCAAATAAATTTATTTTTATGATAAATTTATATATACATTCCTTTTTTCAGCATATCAGTTGCATGTGATTTTATGTCCAATCATATGTTTGATAGAATATCATCACATACATTATTCTGTCCAAACGAGCAATTTACAATAAATTCAGAATTTAATGTGTATATTTTACAAAATAACGTGGTAAGATATTACTTTTTATCGAATTTCTATTAAGTAACAGTTTGAGCAATGTTTGAGCAAATTTTGAAACAAACAATAATAATGAAAATCAATCTCTTAAATTTGATTAACTTTTCTTTTTAATAATTTGTCTTACAGTTTAGAAACAAGTATGGAAATATATGCAGCTTTCCTTTGGAAAGGGGGACTTCAACAAATTATTTATATCCTCCTTTTATGCAAACAAATACGGAAGGAAACGAAAATGTTATAGATACATGGAATATTTTGGATCAAAGTGTTAGCAATGAATCAAATAGTAGTGTAAACATTTGGGATCATATATGGAATCAAATGAATGTTACTGCTGCTCTATCAGCTGTAGATCATCAAACATGGGAATATTTTGGAGAGATACAATCTATCAAAGAATTGATGTTTATTACAGATACTCCAGTTGCAGCAGTACATCTGGAAAAGATTAAGCAAATAAATAATTTGTCTTTAATCCCAGAAAAAGTAAGTTGTTACAAAATATAAGTATTGAATATAGTATAAATATAATTAATATATATATTAATACTTTATTATTTATAATTCTGTATTTGTTTGATATAGTTAGTAAATTCTTTGCTTCTCTTGGAACAAGTTTCAGCCAAAAAATTTCTACATGATTTGAAATCAATGTTACTGGGAGTAGAGTCAAATTCCTTCGAGTACAAATGTGCTGTATGTATTTCAATTAATCTTAATAAGAAATAACTGAAAAGTAAAATATGTAAATCTCCCTTTTAAATTATTTTTAAACAATTTATTAGACAGGATTTACCTTACGAAGAAATATCAGTGTATATAGTATATGTCCAGAATCAATAAAGAAGATATGTGAAGAAGCCATTAATTGGGGTAATTGTTTTAAGTTCTTATGGAATCTAGTTACACCTAAATCACAAAGTGATAAATCACCACAAGAAGGGCTAATATTTAAGGTTTGTAAAATGAGATAAAATTTTAAAAAAGAATGTATTTGTACATATATATCATTATTTTATAGGCCATGTGTATAAATATCAAAGAATTATTGCTTTATTATCAAGCAGCATTATTAAGAATTTTTACATATGAAAACGAATCAGAGGGACTATTGAAAATATTTCAAAGAGTACGTTCTGTGGCTGCATTAATCATTAAAGTTGCTAAAGTTTGTGAGCCTTACAAAAAAAGTCAGTACATGCCTCGAGAAGGAAGCAACATTCTTACTAGGATTTATAATGAAGCAATTAAAATAACTGATACCAAAATTGCTTTAGTATTCTATTCATTATTAAAATCTTGTTGCGAAGTTTATTTTTGGTACGTATCATAGAATGTAATAAATGCATAACCCCGACGCCAAGTGTTTTTTTATTCAATATTTGGAATGTTGAATAATGTAATTAAATTCACTGCAACAGTTTCTTACAGAAATGGATGTTTGAAGGTATATGCGACGATATATATGGAGAATTTATGATCAAAACACGATCACAATATTTACGTAATAGAAGCCATAAGTTTTGGACAAAAAGTTTCAGCATTTGCAATGATGAGGTACCAGGTTTTTTAAATGATCTAGCTGAATCGATACTGCAGTGTGGAAAAACAGTAAGACTCCTAAGAACTTGCGACTCTAAAGTAAGCACATGTAATATATTATATTCTAGTTATTTCTACTGTAAACAGCATATTATACTGATCTCTGCATGGTGAGAATTTAGAATCCAGTATGTCGTGTCTGCGTAACCGAACAGCCAGGAATAAAAGTTTGCTTAAGTATAATCTCATTGCGCGAGCAGTCATCAAGATATCGAGAATATGAAAAAAAAGGTAGAACTGCACTTGGGTCAGTAATTTCTCTTCCTACAGCTATTTCAAATCAAAAACGATTGGAAAAAGAAATGTCAAAAGTAACTATACCTACGGAACATGATACATTGTTAAAACTTCGTGGTAAGTATATTTTTTATTTGTAAGTGGTCATAGTTGTGAATCGAATATAAATAAAAATATTAATGATATATCTTTTCTCTTATTATTACAAAATCATCAGAAGACAAGGAAGGAGAAAGAGATAGATTAAAAACATTAACAGAAGTTTTAACAAATCCGCAAGCAGAATTACATACAAATAACTTAGAACAAGAAAAGGCGAAAAAACCTGACTTATCAAACAAAGTAAAAGTCGAAAATGATAAAGAAGAAAGTAGGATAAAAGAGACATCGAGATCCTTAGAACAGTATTATAAATTAATAATTAGCTATATTTAATATTCGAATCAAACTAGAACTATAGAATTTTTAATTTTAAATACTTACAGGACAATTATTTGGAATTATTATGAAAGCTTAGCCAATGATATTAATAAACGATGTATTCGTTCACAATGGCGAACAAAAAGAATGAAATTGTATAATGAAAGAGTAGATGCTTTAAGCAAAATCAACCAAGAATCGAGAAATGAGTTTTTGAAAAAAACTAAAGAACATAATTGCGTAATAACTCCAGTTTTAGTCGAAATTCCAATCTCACTTGAAGATGAAAATAAGAATTACAGAGATACATCTTTTCGAACATCAGATGTAATGTCAACAGCGTGTACTGAAGTGGATCAAGAAGATTCAACGCAAAGTTCTTCACTTGTAAATTACACAGATAAAGAAACAATAAGCAATAATAATGAAAAACAGGAATTTCACAATTTCGAACGATTAGAAACACTAAATACAGAAACGACTTCAGAAATTTCATCAAACAAAAATACCACAAATAAACAAATGAATGAAATTTTAGAACATCTATCAGTTCATTGCACCACAAATCGTCCATCAGTAACAGAAAGACCCACTCGTTTGAACGTTACAAAAATCGATAATATTACAGAATCTCAAATTGATGTCATGTGTATGCGATCATTAGATTATAAAATGACGCCCAATAACAACGAACTTGACATACATCAAATTGAATTTATTTCTGTTACGCAAGAAACAAATAGAACAAATATTCGTTGTATCGAAAATATAGTCGTCACAAATAAAGAAAATGACTTAGAAACACCGATGTCATGTACGACGGATAATTTTACTACTCCATCAGTACAAACTCCTGTTTCAATAACGTATAATTTGGAAGACTCATCTCCTTCGGAAATTTCATCTACCGTAATACCATCGAATTCGAATCACTTAATTATGAAATCACCTCTTGCCATGAAAGGAGATTCAACATTTTCAGATTTATTTGAATTGGCCCGTGATGAAAAAAGCAATAACACATCACCAGTACTAACTCCTTTGAGTATTACCGATGTTGAGATAATTGATCACATCTCTCTTCAGGCCTATTTAGAGAAGTCAATTCGTATTCCTCTCAACGTGCAGAGCCGTCTCGTAAACGATGCTATAAGAAAATATTTTTTGATAGAAAATAATTTGCTCTCACATTTACATAGTTTACGTAGTTATTTCTTTCTGCTGAATGGGGAATTTTCAAAGAGTTTAACAGATTCTCTATATGCTCGTCTATATGAAATCTCAATACCTATCGAACTGTTCAATTCCGCTACTTTGACTAATCTTCTAGAACGAGCACTCGTTCATTCATTTAACAATGTTTATATTAATTCGGAGCTTCTCAGTCTCTCAGCAACAGATACACCAGCTCAATTACACGTAAATTTTTTATTTCATGTCTTTACCTACTTATTTTCATAATTTTACCCTTTGTTTCTTGTAAAACCTTTACAGATATCAGATCCAGCTGCATTGGACTGTCTTACTCTCAACTATAAAATAAACTGGCCGCTTAATATTATATTTGATGAGACAGTCATGCAACAATACAGGAAAGTATTTAAATTTTTAATAACAAGCGGTAGAGTTTCATGGGTATTACAAGAAGATTTTAATATTATGAAAAGAGAACGAAAAGCAATTACATCGGAACAATATCATAAGGTATCATATGTTATGATCTCAACTTTTTTTTTTAATTTAATGCAATTGTTAATTTTAATTTATTTTAGCTGCAATTATATAGACATTCAATGACTCAATTTATGAATGCATTGCATAATTATCTAACATGTAGCGTATTACACGCAAGTTGGGCTGAATTTGAAAAAGATCTGGAACAATCTTTAACTGTGGATCAGATTTATATGTCACACGTAAATTATATAAAACGAATACTTTCAAGGTAAACAATTATGCTATATATAATATTATTTTACCCTCTGCATTAAGTAAAGTGATTGTTTTATTCTTTGTAGATGTATGCTGAATAGTCGTGGAGAAAAAGTACGCGTGTGTTTGACTAATATATTTAAAGTCATTTTAAAATTCCATAATAGAATAAGATCTCAAAATTGGATAATGAAATCTACAGGATATGTACATCCTAATTTTAAAAAATTGGAACAAATGTATCAAGCATTCTTCGAATTGCGAGCATATATGTCGCACGTTGCATTTAAATTAGCCACTAGCGGTTATCAACCGCATCTAGTGCATTTTCTAAATGCCCTGAATATAAATCCATTATATGATTTAACTGCTAAAAAATGTAGTTCTGTGGGCCCTCCAGAGCTTTAACATATTATTACGTCTTTTTTTTTTATTTCAATTTTAAAACTTAAAACTGTATCACCATTATCAGTAGTATGTTCTTTATATCTTTGGTTCTTCTCAGTGCTGTTGTACATATTTTTCATAAAAAATTTTTTAAGTATACTTGAAAATCTTTTTTTGTTAAAATTGGAAAGAACAAGAATAAATCGCATGAAACAACACTTTCGATAAAAATTGTTACACAGCCGCAACCACTTGTTTATTTTTAGCAAGTACACTAACACAACGTGAACATAGATCATCTTTTTGAGGTTCAGGATACCTTCTACAACGTTCACACAACTCCTCCTGAATGTCATGTAGTTGAATTTCTGTTTCGTTGATCGTATGATTCTCATGTAACGTAACTGAAGAGAGTTGTAGTATCTCACATAATTCAGACATTGATGGTTGTTGTTTGTCGTGAAGAAGCTGCATAAAATATGTGAATATGAACCAATACAATATTTATGGATACATAATAACATTAGTTTCTTTTAAATAATACTCACAGAAAGTAAGGTGAAATCTTCTTTTGTAGCTTCTACAACACCATACAATTTCCACGAAGTTTTATTAATGATTTTTAAAATATTATTTCTCAATCGAAGTGCTACGTTTATATGTTGTACGATTCCTGGATCATTCCATGACTCTGATATTTTATATTGCGTATAATGTAATGGTATCGACGCTATATTTTATATAATTAAATTTAATTGATTAATAAAAAAGCGCTTTTCTTATTTCTTGTGAAAAAGAATTTTAACATACCGAAATTTTGGGAATGATACAGCCATATTTCTTCTGCCAAATGAGGCAGAATTGGTGCGACGGATCTTATAAGAACATTTATAATTTCTTTTATAACTTGCACGGCTGCAATGCGTGTCGGAGACATTACTTCATCACAATAAAGTCTATCTTTAATTATAGTACAATAAAAAGCTGATACATCATGTGATATAAAATCTATGATCTTTTTCCCCACATGATGATACTCATAATTGTTGTAATATTTTTGTATCTAATGATATATAAATAATATATTAATATATTTATTTTTCCAACCAAATTAAAAAGAAATTACCTGTTTATTGTAGGAATATAATAAGTACAGCATATATTTGTCAATAATCCGATATTCAGGCTCACAATTCATATCCGGATAATGATGTAAAGCACCCAGGAGAAAGCGCAATATTAAACGAAGTTTATTGACGCATTGCTTACAATCATCAAGTAAATTTTTCGAAACTGGCGCTTGTTTATTCTGACAACTGTGATTAGCTACCCACCATCTAGAATGATACTTTTGATATATTACAATTATATTACAAGATTAAATTTTAATACCTTAAAATGTCGACACCATATGCTGGATTTTTCTTCAAATTAGATCCACCTAGCAAAATTTGTTCTGGATTTATTACGTTTCCTATTGATTTTGACATTTTTAAACCATTTTCATCGACTGCAAAACCATGTACAAATAAATCACTACAAAATAGAAATGATACTTATGTTGATACTATTATTTTTATTTTTTTTTTTTTTTTTTTCTTCTTTTTACCTATAAGATGAACATCCCTGTAAAGCTATAGATGTTATTAGGGATGACTGGAACCAGCCATTGAATTGATCATATCCTTCTAAATAAAGATTTGCTTTCCTTTCTGGCAAAACCATTGACCATGAAATTCCGCTGTCGAACCAAATATCCATAATATCCTAATAAATATTTGTCAATAAATATTCAACCTTTACTTTTTTTTTCATTTATAAATTAACTGAAATTTACATTTCCTTTTACTATATCATCTGCATCAATATTTAATTTTTTAATTACGTCTAATCCTATTAAATCTTTCACAGAATATTGCCACCAACAATCGGGACCATATCGATCTATCGAATCGCATAAACGTTCAATTAATTCTCTAAAATAAGAAAATATAAATAGAATAATAATGAGTAGAAATGTATATTATAAAACTACAATGTATACAAATATAAACTTACTTATTCGTAAATGGTTTGCCTATTGTTTTGCTATATATCACGGGTATGGGTGTTCCCCAAGAACGTTGTCGTGAAATACACCAATACGGTCGATTCCTTATTCCAGCAAGTAAAGCATTCATAAAAGATTTACGATTACATTCAGGATATATATTCACATCTTTAGTGCTATCCTACAATAATAAAATATTTGTTTCAGCAAAAGTTTTATGGTGATGTACACATAGAAAAACATCACAAAAAATTAATTTACAATTATTTTTTCCCTGATAGAATTTATATTAATAAACCATTGATGACTAGCACGAATAAGAACTGGTTGTTTTGTTCGCCAATCATATGGATAACTGTGTGTTAATGTTTCCATATATACTATATCTCGAGCCAGAAGACTCATCACTTTATCAACTCCCTCTGTTAATACTTCTAATCCATGAAATTCTGGACCAGCTGCTTCAGTATATCGACCTTCAGAGTCTACCACAGATAACTACAATATATCACAAGATTATCAAATATTGATATTTAGTTTGTAATAATATCTAATAGTGATATTATAATAAATGTTACTCGTTTAAAAAAAATATAGTAATTCAACTTAGCTTACAATACTAATTTTATTTTTGAGCGCGACCAGAAAATCTTCTGGACCATGTGCAGGAGCAGTATGAACTAAACCTGTTCCTTTATCTATTGTAACATGATCTGCAGCTAAAAAAGGACATTTTTGTTCGGTAAAGGGATGAAAATATGTACAATCCTCCAATTCTCTGCCTAATGAAACATATCTATTTTTAATCAATAATGAATTTAAAATAAAAAATATTATTTAATAATCGAATTTACCTTTAAATGATACTAGCGATCTCAAAGGTCCAATCTTTGATTCAGTAGATTTTAATAATTCTTCAGCAACAATATATAAGTCTTCTTTATGGTCTTCAACAAGACAATATGTAATATCTGTACAGAAAGATACAGCTTGATTAGCTACTAAAGTCCATGGTGTAGTGGTCCATATTAATGCATATATAGCACGGTTCTTAAATGAATTTAGTCTTTCTGGTATATCATTAACACGTAGACGAACAGTCACAGTTTTACTTTGATGTTGCTCGTTATATTCCAATTCAGATTCAGCTAATGCTGTTCTACAATATAAGACATAAACAGAATTGTGTTCATAAATCTGAAATTAAATTATTCATCTTTGCTAATTTACCTCGAAGAAGGAGACCAATAGACCGGCATAAAATCCCTAAATATAATATCTTTCTCATACAATTTTAGAAATTGGTGAAATTGATTTTTTATATATGATATATGATTGGTAAAGTAACATCCAGATTCATTCCAATTGGCTGTAACACCCCATGATTCAAAAGCTTGTTTCTGTTTAATAATAGCTTCTTCAGCGCATTTACGAGCTAGATGTATATAAAAAGAAAAAAAAAGAAAATAAAAATGAAAATGTAATATCAAATATTATATGAACTAAATATGGACTAAATATAAATTAATTCATACGAATTATACCTTTCTGCCTAATATCTAAAGGATTATCTGTAATTTTATAATCTTTAATGGCCTTTAATTCAATTGGTAGTCCGTGACAATCCCAACCTGGTACATAATGAACTCGATTTCCATTCATAATCTTATGTCTTAATGTTATATCCTTTAGAATCTGTCAGAGTCATAAAAATAGCTATTAGAAATGTATAACCTAGAAAAATATTTTGTTGCAAAACATAATACCTTATTAATAGCATGTCCCATGTGAGGTATTCCATTTGCATAAGGAGGTCCATCATGTAAAACAAAATCTGGTCCTGACAGATTTTTTCTTTGCCATTCGTATAATTCAGAAAAGCCACACTTCTATAATAATAGAATTGAAGGAATAAGTGTCTAAATAAATGAAAGAATAATAGACCAATTCAATAAATAAATAAAAAATATACCAACTTACTTCAGTTAAATATTTATCCGTGTCTATTCGTGCTTTCCCATTAATTTGTACAGGAAATTTAGTTTGTGGAAGTAAAATAGTATTTGTATATTTGGACTGTTTTTTTGGTGTAACTTCTGTGCATTTTTTCGTAGTATCAACTAATTCCTCGCTTGTTTTCTTTAAAATTTGATTTGTAATTAATGTCCGTTTAATAAAAAATTTATGCATATTTACTGAATTTTATTTTGCAAACACGATCGTGTATTTCGTAATAAAGGCTGCTATTCTTCAACATCTAAATCAGATCGTTAGATTTCAATATGTATTGTCGTAAAAATTTTTAATTAAACAGATGTGACCTTTTTAATAAAACATACGAGAAACATATAGTGCACTACCATTTAATTATTCTTATTATTCTTACATACCCGGTATCACCGACATACATAAGGAACAGAACATGTTCCCAGTTATAAACATTAATATCTATTCTATTTTACTTTAAGTACTAAAATGACATTTGTTCTATTTTTGTTGTTACGTACTTAAAATTTGATTTTCATTAAAAGTAAAGTTTCGAAGAAAATTTTCGAAAGAGAAAGCGATATTTTCAAGTAAGGAACTTAAGTGTAACATAGGTAGGTTAGTTCGTTCTGGTTTGTTCCCAACTGATACAAATTCAATCTTGCGTTTGGTTATTATTAATGGAATATGGCTACAGTTTTCGAAAGTTCGTTCTTATCAAATAGAGCACATCGTGTTGAGGAACGATATGAAGAATCGATAAACACTTTTGGGAAATGTGACTGCACTAGTTATAGCTATCTCGCTTTAAGCGTCATTTTGTTCATGATTGGGACAGCTATTACTATTTTTTCTTTGGATGACATCGTAGGCGAACACATATTTTTTAAACTTGGTCACATGTGGCTTATCGGTCCAATATTCATTTGTTCTGGGTTAATGGTGGCTGTCAAATGCATGCTTTACCTTCGGCGAAAGTCTGTTATACAAATGATCTTTCATCAACGACAATTATTCAGAGTAAGTAATTGTTTACTACCATCTCTTCGATAACTTCTTCGATAACTTCTTATCAATTAATTTTACGAGTCCTTGTTTTTCTTTTTTTTTTATAAAATGTATATGCATATCATATGTTATTAACTATGTCATATAGAAGTTAACTGTGTCATATAGTTGTGTTAAAAAATAATTAACTTTCGAAAAGTATATTATGTATGTTAATAGTTTTAACATGTATCGGAAAATAATAATCAGCCAAATATTAAATGTATCGTTAACATAGTTAAGATCGACGAAATTCAATAAAAATAAACTTCATTAATGAATAGTTCGAGATGATTTAATCGTTGAATATAGCATTTACAGGAATTAAGCGGTACTCGTGGTATTGAACGTATCGATATACAAACTCCAGATCCACCATCTTACGAAGCAATCGCTCAAGAAACTTATAATGAATTACCTCCGCCTTCTTATGCAGAAGCGGTAGCGCTTGTACGCAAGACTATTGGGAGCAGTAAGAATCTTTCGTTCTGTTACAAAAATTTAATATTAACACTATAGCATTTTTGTTTTTCTTTTGCACTTCAGATACCAAATCAAATAGCGCAACTGTTTCTTGCGATAACGTCGCTATTGACCAAAACATCAGGTGTAAACCTTGAAACGATATTTTCTTTTTCAATCGAAAGATCGATTGCAAGACAAAAGTTGTAAAACTTATATTTTTCATTAATGAACTATTGTTCATTTTTATTATATGTGTTTATTATATTGAACGTTATTTTTTTCTATTACAAAAAGAATATCGTCGCACATCCTATCGTTAAGGGATAAAGGGGAGTAAAAGAGGATGTAGATACTCGATACTTATTTTATTAAAATACCGATGCCAGTAAAACGATAAACGATTGTTTGATAAAATAAAATTCGCACAATATTATCGGTACAATTGATAAAAGAATATTTCAATAAGTGAAATATTCGAGTTGTTACACGTAGAAAATTTAATTCAGTAAGTGACTGTAATCAATTTTCTTCAATTACACAAATTTTTTGTTAATGTAATACGAATTACGCATATAAATTTTTATATTGTATCTTTTATGTATAAGAAAACAAATCTTGTGGATAATTTTACAAATTAAAAAAAAGTTACAATAGCGTGGCAGATCTTGTTTGTAAAAATACATTCATACGATATTAAAAATAGAATGTCTAACATGGCCAATAATTATAAACTTTTAATGACTGGACAATAATAAAATATTGCCATAATATGGGAGATTTTTTATTCTACAAATCATTTATTTATTTGAATTTTGTGAAACATAAAAAAAACACGTATTTTTATGTACAAAATGGTTATTATAAATAATAGAAACAGAAAACGATATTGAATTTTATTGTTAATAAAATTTATGAGAGCTATTTGAATGTACATTTACAATGTATTACTTAATGATAAAGCGAATAAAAAAAGACATTTCATATTACATATATATTTATAATGTTTATTTTATAATCTAGTACACGCGTTAAAAACAAATCAGAGAGAGATCGTTGAATGTTTTGTTTATGTTGCGCATACAAAGTATATAATTAGTTATGTGCAGTATTTCCAAAATAGTTTAATAATTATAATTATTTTTATAAAAGGATTTAGTAAAGAAATTTGAAAAAAAGATTATAGCATAAAGAGAGGAGACAAAGAAGATAGAAAACAAAGGAAAAAGAGAAAGAAGAAATTTATCTTTCAGGATTGAGCTACAGCCAACATTTCTTCTTGGTGAATAAGATGAGTTGTGTGATTGACAAGACTCATTAATTTTGATAAAGATGCAGCCCAGGCATCTAAAAGAGCAGCTGGTTCTTGAGTTCCTGTGAAACGAACTACCCCAGCTGGGCGATCTGTGCGAGCACTTATCACGCCAGTCTCCACTAAACTGCATAGACATGCTTCCGTTTCTTCAATCGGTAAATCCAATAATTCTGCCATGCGAGTTAGTGTAATTTTTGTATAATATTTTGCCATAATCCTAATATTCTATAAAAATCAGGGAAGACGATCATTATAACTCTGCGAGTATAAGAAGAAATGAAAAGAAACAATTCTGAGATTTTAAACTCACATGTTCGACAACGCGATTTCGGAGATCACCCCATCGCTTACGACCTTCTTCAGTCCATATACTAAAAACTTCTGTCGTTTCAAGGTCTCTTTCATAAATTTCACATAATCCAGACCATTTTATTAGCTCTGGATTTACGAAAAGACGCAGTAATTCTCTAAAAAATAAAATAAGCGAATAAAAACTGATTGACAAATATTTTTATCAAAAGAAAACAAATAATACTTGTATGTTGGTATTTCGTCTAGAAGTTTATCAGTAAGCAGCCTGTGGGTCAAATCAGCTTGTTCTGGTTCATGTGGTGCAAGTATAAGATAAAGAACAGCACATGAAAGAGCGGCATGTCTTTTTTCAGGATCATCTCTGATAGTTGGAGTTTCCAACACTGCTCTATTATGTCTACATAATTCTAAATGCCAACCTTCGTGTTGGGCCAATTTCATCATTAGACTGAAATAAAAAAATTTTAATTACGTACAACAATAAATTTCATAGTTTTGTATTCCTTTAGATAATTTGATAATAATATACTTACTCATAATATTTCAATTTAAGAGCCTGCATTTCTTCATCATCTTCATCACTAAAGAGTTTAACATTAATTTTTTTTGCTATTATTTGAGTACGCATAAAATCTTTTTTTGCTAAACATAATCGCATTTGCTCTAGGATAAAAGATGCTTTTTCCAAACGTGTCATACTACCATATGTTTCAACCTAGAACAAGTAATATATATCATAATATTATTATATATATATTATATATTATATATATATCGTTTCAATTTAATTATATAATGTCTCTGAAAGATTCATACTTGTAATTCCAGCATAATAGCTGCTGCACCTGAGATGTCTCCATCTTTTTCTTTGATCTTTGCCAAGCGATAAGTGAGCCTTGCTCTTTCAACTTCTACATGTATCTTCAACAACAGAACTATATTGACTTTTCACAATGTTTAAAATTACAACTTAAAACAATCACAAGGCTTAAATCCTTTACCTTTCCTTCAGTTATAGCACGCAATGTTTCTATTAATTTAATTTTAGTCTCTTTATCAGGCATTTTATTTATATAGGTGCAACATTCTTGTACCATTCTTGTAACAGCTCGTTTTAACTGAGAACGTCTTTTGGATAACAGTACTATATGTTCATTTAGAAGTGCCCAGTTCTTTGCTTCGAAACAAATTTGAACAATAGCCACGACGGTTCTTGATGTGGATCTCAAGTCTGCACTCTAAAAAATATCACCATTATGTTCATTATTTTTATTACTTTAACCTAAAATGGTTATCTAATTATATATAACATATGTTCAAAAGCTCAACTGTTCGTGTTAATTTTTCCAATACTAATAATTGATCCAAAGCATCATGTAGCTTTCCTTCACGTGCTAGTTTTTTACATTCTGGAATTTTTGTATCGCAGTTACTGGTATAATCCACCTCCATTTTCACAATTTTATTACAATTCAATTATCTTGACCTTTATTCAAAAATTTCCAATGAAATAATTTAACAGTAGAAGTGCAAATATACTAGAAATATAAAAATTACTCTTACCTTGACTAAAATAATAACAAATTGTGAATATACTATCCCAACGAAACCGACACGGCCAATTCTGGCAAGTAATCACTTTTTATCCGAAGTTTTATTTATGTCTTTTCTATTTATCTTCTTTGCTTTTGTTTTAAATATAATAGGGAAATTTAGAAATACTTTCTTTATGTCTGACTTTATATGTAGAATTCACATAGATTTAATGTTTCTCTTATTCCACATGACTCAAAACTGATTGTCATCCACCATTTGTAACTAACAAATGGTTGGACTTGCACGAAGTCAAACTGGTAGACTTGTAGAGATATATTCCTATAGAGGGCTACTGGCTTAATCTTATGATCTCACAATCTCACGGTAATAGTGAATATGACGCTACATGTAAGTGGAGAAATCATTCATTCTTTTTCATTTATCGTGAAAATTTACTTATTTTTCCATAATAATTAAACGTATACGAAAAGTAATGATGACAAAAATAGTCTGATATTGATGTTATACTGATTCGAACTAAAAATAATTTCTTGTTTGTTCCTAAAGTATAAGGTTATTTTAAAGTTTCGCGCACTTTTTATTCCATCATTAATATAAATCGTAATAAGTGTATACTTGTGGTAAAATTTGAGATTGGTTCTCAATAGTGATGTTCTAATTCATTGAAATTAATACTAAGAGTGTGAGTATTAAACAACTTAAGTTTAGGTGTCGAATGTTACTGCTCCTGTTAATTTTAATAGAGAATTAATGTATCATGAATCCGAAGTTCATGTGATATGTCAAAGTAAATATTTACAAATCCTATTAAAAATTGTTAAATTTATGAAACGTCTATTGCGTTGATATGTTTACATGTAACTCACTTAAATATTAATATTAATGTTTAATTTGTCATTTAGGGCAATTTCAAATTCTACTTTGATTCTGGATAATTTGGTTATGCTTCGATGACGTAATCTTTCTTTCTTAACAAACGTTTAAGATTGAAATTAAACACAAAATGTCTGAAAAAGAAGGAAATGATGTAATTGTGATTGAAAAACCTGAGGATATGGGTGAAAATTTAACAAATGAAGATGCACCTGCTAGTCTTGAAACAATTCCATCAGAAACACCAGCTCGAAATGGAGTTCAAGTTGTTTCAAAGGATAAAGTAAAAAGTAAAATTTGCTATTTGAAGAAAAGAAATTATAATATTAAATTTAAATTTAACAAGTCCATTCTGCTGTAAAATAATTATCTTATTAATATTACTAATCTTATTAATATATAATCAATTTTGCAGTTGATATCTTATTGAAAGCAACTGGGAATGCGCCGATAATGAAACAAAAAAAATGGGCTGTCAGCCAAGATTATTGTATTGGCCGTATTTCTGATTTTATCAGAAGATATCTTAAATTAGATTCTAGTGAAAAATTGGTAAGTGTAAAATATCTATTCTAGAATTTGTGAAGTTTTCATATACATAAATATATTCTTTTCTTTGCTAGTTCCTTTATGTAAATCAAACATTTGCACCTGCACCAGATCAGGTAGTAAAAAACTTATATGACTGTTATGGTGCAGATGGAAAATTAATACTTCATTATTGTAAAAGTCAAGCTTGGGGTTAACCAAATACAATAATCTTATAGATCATCACATAAATACATTATGTGTATTTTAATACTTTCAATAAGTATTTAATGAATATTCCAAATTTAATCATAGATAATGTAATAAATTTTACAATGAATTTCATAGAATATCATGAAATAAGAGATACTGTAAAATATGATACTATTATTATGATCGTAGGAAATAATCTATTTTTATTGTTTATTTCCTAATTCTCTTTGTTTTTTTCTTCTTCCCTTTTTTTGTTAAAAAGCAAATGATATTACCCAAGAAAGAGAATAAGAAAGAAATAAATACTTATATATACTTATATAATAATTTATTATATTATAGTAAATAATTTATTGTAAATGAAATTTATCATTAAATCGTTTGTACTACAAAAATAAATAATGATATAGATTATGAAGAGTATATAAAATGTTTGAACTTGTACATGTGAGTTTTTTTACGTAAAATGAACAATTAGTTATTTAGATGTTTGTGAGATATTTGTTGCTTGTGAATAGTTGGTAAAAGTGTAACACAATTATTTGCAATTTGGTTCACACATATTTGTTACGGATACTGTCGATAATGATTGTGTGTGTTGTTTATTATCATCTGTGATCGATGTTTTCAAAAAAGGATATTTCCAAAGCATTATAGAACCATCTGCACTTGCTGTGGCAATAAATTTATCGTCTGGAGCAAAGACACAACGAGTAATGGCAGCTGCATGTGCGAGGCCTAAACGAATAGTAGTAGCGGTACGATATTCCCATAGTTTTACTATAGAATCATCTGATCCAGTGAGAAAATGTTGTCCATCGTGACTAATACCAATGGTATTTAAGGTTCCAGTAATTGAACCTTCGATTTCTCGAACCAACGAACCATCCAATGTTTCCCAATAAGCTATTTTGCCATCTGTACCACATGTTAAAATTTGAACACCGCTAGGAGTGAAACACGTTGCCATATACATTGTGTTTCCACTTAACATGAATTTTCTCGTGAAATTTCTAAAGAAAAAAATAGATAAAATCACACATTGTATGATAAATATAATAGTTAATATTTTGAATACACCAACCTATGTAGTTGAACACTTCTAAATTATTGTAGATACATAAAATGTATTTCAAACAAAATTGTTTCGAAACGAATGATATAAATATAAATATATTTCTTATTTTAGTTTCAAGTTGGTAAAACATTTTATTTCAATTATGATAAGTATTAAAAATTTAACAAAAGAGAAGCATTTTTCTATCGTGATATTAAAAATATAATTACGCATGGTAATTTAGATTCAAATTTTGCATCATTAGCAGATTACCTTAAATTCCATAGTATGCATGTACCATCTGTACTAGAACTAATCAAACTCTTATTATCTGGTGAAACATGTAGCGATGTTATTGGGCCCCTATGTTCTTTCAGAACTTGCAGTAAATGTCGTAATTCAGATTTTGCGTTCCATATTCGCACCTAAGTGAAAGTGTGTGCTTTAATAAATTGAAAAAAGAGCATGGTTTAAATAAAGGATAGATATTCTAATTTAATAAATTAAATTTGATATACTTGTCCATCACAACCACCACTGATCAATTGATCATTGTCGTTCGTAATGGTAACTGTTGACACACATTTCGTATGAGCCGAATTAATCTCGAATAATAGTTTTCCACCGTTCAAGGCAAATCCTCTTATCGTACCATCGTTCCAAGCTTCCTCCGATAAATTAAGTTTTTAAATAATGTGCGATACATAAAATAGTAATCGTTACGATATAAACTTACCAGATATTATAGAATCACCATTGCTATCAAAACATATGCTGGAACAAGCAAAATTAGGTACGGTAATTCGAAGCAATTCTTTTTGAGTGGCTAGTTTCCATATTCGTATATCATTTTTACTAGCCGTTGCAAATATTTCTGAACTATTCCTACAAAAATAATAAGATTTTTATACATCTTGTTTTCCCTTCGCATAGTATATTTTAAAAAAGGTAAATGAAACATTTAAAATCAAAGAGATGGTTAACGAAATTATTAAAAATAAAATAGTAGGTAAATATAATTTTTATATTTTGTCGAGATACGTAAATATAAACTTAATATATATTTTAAAATCATTTTAGTAATTTGTATTTGTAATAAATGCAGAAAAATGTCACTTGCATCTCTTTGATTCTAGATATCTCAAATGAAAATGATTTATTGTACGTGGAAACAAGTCATTTACCGTGGGAATGCTAAATCGTATATCGAATTTGTGTGACAAGTGACGATTAAACGCATTTGAAAGCTTGATAATTCAATTTCATAGATCTCGCATAGAGCAGTCGCTACTAATATAAAATTATTTTTATACCGGATCATTGATGTTACCATGGCACATACATTCTCTGTACGATACTGTGCAATAAAGAAAATTATTTTTTAAACTATTGTGCTCATTGTTCAAAATATAATTTTTTGTGAGAATAAGTTAAAAATGTTGACTATTCGGTAGATAAAAATTTCTAATATAAATACAGTTTAAATATTGAAATTGATGCGATTTAAATATGTATGTGTATAGCAAATACAATGTATATCTGTGAAAAATCATACATACTGTTATTATTGCAGGTATTGTTAACGATTTGTTCATCTTATTTACATCAAGTCTCGCACCTTTTGTTATTTCAATTAATTCGACTGTACCATCGCCAGTACCTACGATTAATTTGTCTTTTTCTAAAAGCAACAAATTTTTCACACCACCTGCATACACTTCTACGTCAGGTCCATTTGTTTTTGCTATGCGCGTTCTCCTACGCGTTGGTATTTTTGAATAACATCCGATCATTACCGGATATTTAGTCCGTTCCTCTGATTCTTCTATGTTTAATCTACACGAAAAAAACAAAAGTTTTTACAAAGTAAAACAATTAATCCTTTCCATATTCTAGAAGGATGAATTTCTCTTTATAATTATTAGGCAATTGTTTTGGCATTACAAAACTAACAACCTTGCTTTTATGATATCGCCAGACGTTGTTCCGCAGTAAACATTTTCATCGTTTTCATCTATAACTAAACAATTAATCGAACGTTTAATCTTTCCGACTTTTACATCTGTCCCATATAACTTTCGATCTTTCGAGCTGATACGCCATAATTTCAGATTACTGTCCCCACCAGTGATAAAACTCGTTTTGCAAGTGTTAGTTGGTGCGATTATTATAATATTTCCAGATGTTTCACTTCCAGCAAGAGCACCTGTACGATACAAACAATCAATTCACAAAACTGATGAAAAATTTAAGTTATTAAAGAAAAACAGTGACATCTACCACAAAGGGGAGTTCCATTTTCAATATCCCATATTATGATGCGACCATCATCTCTGCCTCCAAGACTGATAAGATACTGTTCATTTTCTGTAAAACATACGCCTTCGACTCTAACTTTGTGCATTTCATAGCTGTATTTCATTTTACGATTTTTATAATCCCATATTATAACCATTGCCTTGAAAAAATTATTATTCAAAATCAATGAAATGAATGAACAGCGAAATTTCATGCGATTATAGGAAAGTTAAAATCACAAAAGTGTATAGAAAACGTAGTGGTGTAAATTTATATATATATATATTTTTTTTTATTATATTCATAGAAATAGTTTGCATAAATATCTGCAATATTTAATTCATCCTAAGTGAATCACCTTGAAACCATGATGGTTTATTTGTCCAGAAGCTATTAATTCACCAGAAGGTGAAATGCATAAAGTGGAAACAAAATTCTTATGGCCAGTAAGAAAGAATTGTTCACTCGTTTTTATATGTTTGATAGTAATTTTGTTGCCCATTGGATACACAAGGTGTTCTCCATCAGGATGTAATCGTAAACCATTTCTTATTACACCTGCAAAACAATTACTTGATCTTACATGACAAATGAATAATATTAATGGCTTTATGTACTTTCAAGTTCTTTTATATTAAAAATTTAACGAATTCTCATTATTATGGAAGAATTACAACTACTAACCGTCAAATGCTATTATTCCGAATATTTCAAGTTCTTCCATGTTCATAATGAAAGATGATACTTTTATTGTAATCAACTGATGAACTTGTAACTTTTTAACAGGATAAGAATTATGTTGTCATAGTAACGACAGGTGTAAGTAATAACAAATATCGAAGTACGTATCGATGAACATACCTAACGACTAATTATAGTAAAATAAATAAAAGGTAAGAAATAAAATTGAAGAAAGAATTAACGATGAAATTTAAACTACAAACACGAGAAAACGTGTTCCAAATCTCATTATTGTTACAGTCGTAATTACACAAATTTTATAATTTGTGTGATGTCTTCGTCGATGAAGTTAACAAAAATCAGTAATATTGAAAACTGATCGCGAAATTTATTTTCAAAGTCCGTTTAAACTTTTCAAATTTATGAAATACTTACAAAGGTCTTCGCGCAAATGCGCAATGCTCTGCGCAGATTGTCAGACTTGACATTGGTGCTCGGACACGCGTGAATATATGTGAAAGGTAGAATATTTACTAAGGAACACAGATCGCAGCACTTGTGTTGTGTTCATATGAGACGCGGTGGATTTTAACTTAACGTATCTCGTTTAAAAATAAAAGTTATCAAGTGTTTCATAATTATGGATTTATTACCGTAAGCAGCGTTTTATATTACCGTATTTTCTACTTTTAATGACAATTTTGCAATGTTGATATTGCAGTATCGAATAATCTGCATCTCTTGCTATTTCTATGTACAAGAATTAAATATGCGGTATAACCTAAATGTTCTTCCGTTTAGAAAACATGATTCAACCTTTTGGAAAACTGGCAGACTAAAAACATTCGAAGATTGGCCTTTTCAATCTTCTGATAATTCATGTAATCCTGAGAAAATGGCTGCTGCTGGTTTTTTTGCTGTAGGTAGTAAAGAAGAGCCTGATTTAGTTGAATGTTTTATTTGCTCCAAACAACTTGATGGTTGGAATCCTGATGATGATCCATGGTATAAATAATTCTTAAGCACTTTGTATTATCATCTTATCAATTTAATATTAATATGATTAAATTAACTTAGTTGCAATTACTTCCAGGGAGGAGCACGTTCAACATCAGTTAAATTGCCCATTTATTAATTTAGGAAAACCCGATGAGACTTTGTGGACTGTATCTGAATTATTTAATCTCTTCAAAAAATATACAGTGAAAGAATGTGTAAGTATTGTTTTGTAAAGTTAGTAAAGTTAGTATTTTATAAATATAATGAAACCTATATAAATTTTGTAGACACGTGAATTGAACAAAGCTATAACTACAGCAAAAGATGAAAGCGTAAGACTAGTGGGGGAAATACCTCACATTTATATGGAATTAAGAAAGAATACTACAAATCAAAGTTAAGATAGCTTTGGTAAAGTAAAGACTTGTTCTATTCCTTACTTATGTTTTATCATAGTTGTGATTTGATTTTCTTCATTTTTTAATAAAATTTTTTACTGGAAGAAATATGGCTTCCTCTCGATAGATCGTAACTTTTTCTTTCTTTTTTGTTTTCTTTTGTTTTTGTTTTCCATGGCAAGTTATATAGTATTGTGTTATATATTTGAGGAAGAAAGAGATAATTCATTTGATAACGATCTAAGATTAGCAAGAGCTATAAAATGAAGCGTGGGAGAAGTTACAAGTGTATTGTGTAAAAGTAATTTGCAGTGTCCATTCTTGTCAAACTTGTTTGATTTTATCAGTGACATCTTAATCTCACGATATTAAGAGCAGTTTTTATCAGTGATCTCACAATAATGACAAGAAAGAAAAAGATATCTTATAATCGTAATAACTGTTATTTCGTATATTTTATAAACATTACATCTCAATAATAATTTGAGGCATCTCAATAATAGAAAACAATTACAAAAATAGATGAATCATATACTGACGATGTTTAGATGAATCCGTGCAACATTGACGTTGCACTTTTTGGGAAGACTCGTGAAAAAAGATGCAATTTTTTTATAAAATGGTGCTTAAGTTTCAAAAAGATAGTGATATGACGGTAAATGAATTGTAACAGGTATATTTGTTATACAGAGTGTTCTGTTTATCTCGTAAAAATTGAAATATCTTGTCAAGCATTGAAATTATTAAAAAAATACTCATATTATGTAATATTAGTCGTATTTGTGAGTGGAGTGTTGGAGGAGAAGGTATTCATAAATAATATCTCCTTAATTAAGAGAAACAATATCTCCTTAATTAAGATAAACAATATCTACAAAGAAATTTTTAGATATATGTAGATATAAATAAGTTAATATTTTTTTTACAGAGAATGATCAGATACTTCAATTACCGCATTCGAAATGCGGTATGATTCCATTTTAAATCAACTTAATCTTGAAAATCTCCTCCATCCTCCACCCATAAAAATATCACGTAATCTGCCATTTTGTACCAAACAAATTTTTTAATAACATTGTTTTTTACAACTTCAATGCTTTATGAGATATTTTTTGTGAGATAAACTGAACAGGTATCATTATTTTGTTTTTAAATCTAAGTAGATTTATTAGTAATATAAATTCGAGAATGTATACATGAAAATTCAACGTTGTAATTACATCAATTATTATTTATCAAATTAAATCAAACCGTCAGTTTAGTTAGATTATTGTTTCAAAATATCGAAATATCGATTAAATCCTACGAAGAATTGTAAAGTACTCGTCTAATATATTTTGTTAACAAAAAACAAGTATTATTGAGATATGACGTCAACGATGTTTATTCTCTCTTTTTTCTCTTTGTCTTTTTCTTCTTCCCTCTCAGCCTTATGTTCATAAGTGAGTTTCTTCTTTAATCAGAAAAATCAATCTATCTATTGATGTCTGTTACCTTTTATGATTTCACTGTGAAATCAAGGTATATAAAGATATTAAACAGCTAGAGAATATCAAAAATAGATACACAACACGTTGCGCGTTATCATCCCCCTCCAACATTGGGCATACCTTTTTGGTGTCAACTTTTACTAACACGCTTAGCGTCTTATCCACGTTTCCTTTCCCTTTTTGCGTTTAGTGAGGAGCACGTGTACGAGTATAAAATGAATTCGCGCGGAGAGCATCGATTCAGTCAATCGTGACATGTGGTCGAGATCGGCATAATATACCTGTTACCATTCCTGTTCATAAATTTTTGTGATTTTCATTTGCTAGAGTTATCTTGCTGCTGCGTCGTATATGCTAAGTATATAGACAAGAAACAAGGTCGTTTCTATTTTATTCAATCATTTAGATAATTTATGTTCGATTTTCAAACGTGCAATTTTTTACGTGTCTTTCGTTAAAATAGTCATCAATCAGTTATCAGAGAATATATTTTCGTTCATACTATGCTGTCTGCCTGTAGAACGTGTTGTAAGTACTATCCTGATTTTCTTGATTTTGTCAAAATCGAAATATTTTTTATTGCTATTAAGCGTATAATTTTTTTTTACATTGTAATTCGAGTAAAATTTATTTCTTCTAGAGAATAGATATTTTTTTTATCCATGTCTCGAACAGGATAACAATTTACCTATTCAATAATTATCCATTCGTGAGATAAAATTAAGTTAATCGTGGCTGTATCGAAATTGCAAATAAGATAGAAAAAGGAGTTAATCATTTCACGATATTGTAATAATAAATTTCTTTCTTCGAGTTGTTTTTATTGTTCGATAAACAATAAACAGCGAGATGTATATAAACTGTGTTATCACGTTAGCACATCGTTGCATGTCTGGCGATGCAAATTTCTTACATTTACAATTACAAGTTATTGCTTAACCAATTAATTTTTTGCACGGAAAAATGTCAATGTGTTAAAAAAAAAATTACAAGTTCCGTGATCTATGTCAGATGAGCGATGAGATCAGAAATAATGATTTATCGTTATCTTAGGTAATCTGTAACTAGTGATATATTTGAATTTTTATCACGAATTCCTTGAATTCCTTCGCGCATGCAAAAAAAAAAAAAAAAAA